ATGGAGAAGAGCCACCACAGACCCAACTAAGATGGCTTCCAATTGCCCCAAAACCATTGTATTGTGCGCCATCTCCAGTTCTATTTCTTAGCTCAGTGGGTGCGACGAGGTCACTGAGTCGGGCGGGCGGCCGCCAGCCAATGAGAGCCTCCGCTCCAAATAGAGCCCTCCTCTGCAAAGGAAATGTGGTCATCCATAACTGGCACACCTGACCTTTCACGAGCGATCTCAATACCTTAGTAGTTCGACCTCGCATCAAGATTAGTGATGGCAATGGGAGGGAGGCAACTGTAATATTAAATTTAAAATATCAGGAGGAAAATAGTCTTTATTTCATTCGTTAACGTAAATGCGAAGCAGAAAAAGCCAGGCAATGAAGGCCTATAGAAAAATAGAGCAGAAGGAAAGCGAGAATTGGATGAATCTCTTCTCTGTTGGATTCTTGTGAGAGATCCTAAGGCCATTCCTCTTTTTTCTGCTGTAGTTAGTAATCCTTTCATCAGAGAACGAGGATCTTCAAGCAGATTCGTATCGTTCGCATGCGGGAAGGAATCAGGCCCAGAAGACTTCGTGCATGGCCTTTTGTCCCGCCGGCAGCCGCACAGGGCCAGCCAGGATTGCTATAACGCCGTAGGCGAATGGATGGAGGGCGGAATAAGGGCCCCCATCGCGCTGCGGGTTCGTACATAGAGAGGCCGGGCGGTCGATCCCGCTCTCCAGCGAGAGAATTTGCTCGTTCGGTTTTCACGGTTCACTTGAAGTACGGATTCCGACAGTCTACGGTCTCAGCTGAGAGGCAAGACTGATATTTAAAATATTAAAAAATTCAGCCTGACAGGAGAAGTGATCTATGGAATTTCGGCCTTAAAAACAGCCTGGTTTGGTCAGACCGGCCCGCATCCCGTGCAGGCCTCTACGTGAGTTGCTCGTGCTTGCAATGCGGGCTGGTGGGTTTAAGATCACGTGGATGAGGAAGTCGGGAGACCGGCCCGCATCCTGTGCAGGTCTCTACGTGACTCCGCATGCGTGTTTACGCGATGGCATGATATGGATGATCACGTAGATGGGAGCTCCAGGACGGCCCGCATCCCGTGCAGGCCTCTATGTCTCTGCATGGGTGCAACGCGAGATAGAAAGGAAGATCACGTGGAAAAGTGGTCAGGCCGACCCGCACCCACTGCAGGCCTCTACGTGTTGCTCCTGCGTGTGAATGAGAATGGAAAGCACGTGCGACCGTGTGTGAATTTCGCGCTCAGGGTCATGTCTGTGTGTATACACTTTCTGGCCTTGCCCGAGTTACCGGTTCTTGTATTGATTCACTTGAGATGCGCATTTAGGCAGACTAAACAT